GGCGTTTGGAACGCCTTTATAAACGAACTGGACTTATGGTACATAGAGAGATGTATAACGAACATATTCATCTTTATAAAGATGTTCTTTCTGCTGCCAAACATGAGATGTATTCACATTTAATTGAGTCTGGTGATTGTAATACTAAAGCTTTGTTCTCCACTGTAAATCATATACTGAAACCTCCTGACAGCCGTCTTGCACACCTGTACTGCTCTGCTCAATGTGATGAATTTATGTCTTTTTTCAGTAACAAAATAACTGCTATCCACCAACAGTTGGCCTCTCCGGCTAACCCATACGCTAATTCATTATACAGTGTTTCAACCGATTTCCCCCTTATTATTTTCTCTTCTTTTACCCTGCCATCTGAATTAGAAATTTCTAAATTTCACTGTTACGCTGATGATACACAACTTTATGTATCTACTAAGCCTGATTCCATTCTTCCACCTATCTGCCTTATTAACTGTCTTCACGAAATAAAAACCTGGTTCTCCGCCAATTTTCTGCGTTAACTGATTTAACATCATAATAATAATAATGTTTGATCTTGTTCTTTGTGTTGTAGATCAGGAGATTGTTATTTTATGTGTTTTTAGTAAAGAGAAAAACCTGTGTTTAAAGCTGTTATATTTGACATTTAAAAGATTAAATAGATATATATATTTTTTTAATAATCAACTTAATTCGTTTATGCTTCAGATGATTAAGTTCCTCTAAGCGTACTATGTGTAGTTTGGTGATTCTATTGATCATTTCAATAGAAGTTGTCATAACTCAAAAAGACTGCAAATGTCATTTTAATTTTTTTATTGATACAAACTATTATTGTTTTTTTATTTTGTTAATTTAATTTTTATGTTTTTAATTTTAATTTTGTTAATTTTTTTGTTGAACATTTGTTACGCACCAATTTGGCAATGACAAGCAGAACATTTAAAGCTGTTATAATGTATCTTTTCATACACTTATGTCTCTCTGTCTCTGTGTGTGTGTGTGTGTGTGTGTGCTGAATAGCCTCAATGAATGATGCTGTGTACTGTTTAATCTCATTTAAACCATTAGATTAAATGATCCAGAGAGACATTGTAATTCTGGATTTGCACAGATACATCGGAAGCAATAAAATATACTAAAGACAGTTAAAGACCATGACATTATTTCATTAGCCCATTAAAACACTCTGGTTTACAATCTCCCAAAAATATTACCTGCATCATACAGAGGACCTTATGCACGAGAGAAGGGTTTTCTGCATTTAAAAGGGCTAGAAACATGTTCAGAACATGATTGTGTGTGTGTGTGTGTGTGTGTGTGTGTGTGTGTGTGTGTGTCTCTCTCTCTCTGTCTCTCTCTCTCTGTCTGCGTCACATGTCCAACAGTTGTCCTCTCGGGATAAGGACGCCTCCAGAAAGGAAGTGACTCTGCTGTCCAAAATGAAACATCCAAACATTGTGGCGTTTTATAAATCATTTTACGGTCAGTTGCTGCGTTTGTCCTGATTTCAGCAGTATTGCAGTGTGCGTGCGTTCACTCTGTCTTTATATTGTGTCTGATACAGATCCGTGTAAATTATATGTTGTGTTTGTTTGTGACATCCAGACAGGAATAACTTCTACATCCTGATGGAGTACTGTGACGCCGGCGATCTGATGAAGAGAATCAGGATGCAGAGAGGAAAACCCTTCACAGAGCAGCAGGTCAAAGACACAAACACTACGACAGGATTCATTACTGCTGAGAGAAATGAAAGCATTAGACGAGATTCATGATTCGTCTCGTGTCTCGTGAGCATGAGAGCTCAGACTGACGATTCAATAGAGTCTCTTGTTTAAACGAACAGAGTTAGAGTTGGTAAGTTTGATTCATTTCAGCAAATCGATTCAGCAAGTTACAAGGATTCATTTAGTAAGTCTCTGTGCGGTACAGTATGCTTCATGTATTAAATGTTTTGGCAAAAATATCTATAAGCAAAAATGATGGAAGCTTGTTTCTATCAGGTAATAAAATAATAAGAAAGGTAATTGTGGCTTTTTATTTTTTATGTTTACATCTCACAATTTGGACTTTTTTTCACAATTCTGAAAAGGAAAGTCAGAATTGTGTAGTAAATAGTTGTAAATAGTAATTATCTTTTTTATTCCATAGTGGAAATGAAAAAAAAAAAAACTCAGAATTGTGAAAAAATTGTCAGAATTGTGAGTTTATATCTCACGTTTCTGACTTTTTTCTCAGAATTTCAAGGAAAAAAATCTGAATTGTGAGACAAAAGTTGCAATTACCTTTTTAATTTTGTTTAATTCTGTGGCGGAAATAAAAAAAAAAAAACAGAATTGCAAGATGTAAACTCAGGATTCTGAGAAAAAAGTCGGAATTCTACTTTATTTCTCACAATTCTGACTTTTCTCAGAACTGTGAATTTATATCTTTATTTAATATAATATTAATTTTAGTTATATATAAAAAAAATCCAAATTGTGAAATAAAAAGTCGCTATTACCTTTAAATGCAAATATTAATAACCCCCGATTATTATTTAATACAATAGATTCACTAATAAATCATAAAATTGATTATAGTTCTGAGTTACCAAGTTCGAAATGTGAAGAGTTTGCTTGCTACTTCAGAGATAAAGTTATAAACATTAGATCAGGAATCTGTTTAATAAATGATAATCGGTCAATTATGCTCCCTCCATTATTAGGTGTAGAGAACACTATTAAAATGGAAAGTTTTACTGTGGTTGATGTTGAGACACTAAGAAAGGTTGTAACAGAACTGAGACCATCTACTTGTTCCTTTGATCCAATTCCTACCTCTCTTTTTAAAAGTATTTTTGACTCCATATCTATTGATATCCTTGAGATAGTAAATCACTCCCTGCAGCTTGGCATTTTCCCTTCTGATCTTAAATCTGCCCTAGTAAAGCCTGTGTATAAAAAAGGGAGCTCGGATATTTAAACTCCTAGTAATTATAGACCCATCTCAAAAAAAAAGAAAAAATAGTTTTTAATCAGTTGAGTACATTCTTAAATGCAGTCTGGTTTTAGAAAATACCATAGTACAGAGACCGCTCTTATTAAAGTTGTAAATGACATAAACCTTGACAGAAATTGGCCTTCAGTTCTGGTGCTTCTTGATTTGAGTGCTGCGTTTGATACAATAGATCACCAGATTCTTTTAAATAGATTAAGTGACTATGTTGGTCTATCTGGAACAGTTTTAAATTGGTTTTTATCATATCTTAGTGAAAGAACATTTGTAGTATGTATTAATAATACCTTGTTTGAATATTATAAGGTACCATGTGGGGTTCCTCAGGGATCAGTTTTAGGACCACTGCTTTTTTAATCTATACATGTTACCTGTCGGTCACATTATCAGGAGGCATGGTATCTCTTTTCATAGCTATGCTGATGACACACAGTTGTATGCAGCCGTGTCTCCTGATGACCCTGTGCAAATTCATACACTCGCAAATTGCATCCAAGACATAAATGTCTGGATGTCACAAAACTTCTTACAACTCAACCAAGATAAAGCTGAAGTTTTGATTATTGGATCAAAAGCACAGAGAGAGAAACTGACCCCTAGGCAAGGCAAGGCGAGTTTATTTCTATAGCACATTTCGTACACAATGGTAATTCAAAGTGTTTTACATAAAAGAAAGTAAAATAATCATAAACAATAATCACAAAAATGAAACAAGGAATTTAAAAACTTTGAAAATGATTTAGAAATTGATTTCAAATGAATTTAAGACAGTTAAAAATAGAAAATGATTATACATAAAATACAATGCAATCAGTTCGGATTGCATAAAATACAGTGCAATACATAAAATACAGTGCAATCAGTTGGGACGTAGCACAGTGTTCATTCAATAAATGCACAGCTAAACAGATGAGTTTTGAGTCTAGATTTAAATGTGACTAATGTTTTAGCACATCTGATCTCTTCTGGAAGCTGATCCCAACTGCGGGCAGCATAATAACTAAAAGCGGACTCCCCTTGTTTTGTGTGAACCCTTGGTATTTCTAACTGACTCGATCCTAATGATC